GGGGGAGTCCTGGGGCGCCGAGGGCGGGCGACGCGCCCGATGGGGGCCCCAGCGCGGACCCGCGACGCACCCTAGAGGGGCGCCCGCGCGAACAAGCGAAGCCTCGGGGCCCGCGGCGTTCCCCGGAGGCCCCGCGAGGCCGCCGAGAAGCAGCAGGGGGCGCCGAAATGGCTTTCAAATTCGATGCGCCCAGGAGGCGTTGTTGTGTGATCGCGCGCTGCGATGCGCGCTCCCGCTATGGGGCGCAGACAAGGTGGCCGACCGCGACTGACGTGGATGACGCATTCTCTGAGGAGCGCCACCCGGCGTCGTGGATGGATGAAGACCTCGGAACCATAGCGCTGTCTTCGAGGAAGGTCACAGGTAGAAACGACCGCATATGCGAATGCTGCTTTCGTTGGCGACGCAGTTTGGCCAGGCCAGGTCCATCCGCGAGCGCGAGCGCGTCGCCATTGGTCTCGCGTCGGGCTCCGGAGACTTTGAGCCCCGCGGCGAAGCGTCCCGCGGGGGCGGCCCTGAGCGTTCCTGGACGCGCTGCGGCCTTGCGTCGCGTTCGAATCTCGCGCGGCAGCCAATTCGCGACGGCGAGAGGCGCGCGGGCGATCGTTCGCGCGTCGAACGGCGCGCGTCGAATTATGCGCGACGCCGCGCTTCGCGCGATCATCGCGTCGCGGGCCACGCATGTTGAAGAGCATTTGCCCCTGCAGTCTGTCGCGCGCAGTTGCCCTTCCCCCCCCCCCCCTGGGCGGGGGCCCTGGCGCTGCGAGCGCAGGCGGTTGGCGCGGCTCGCGGGGCGCGGCCGCCGCTATCAGGTGATCGTCGGCGGGCGTTCGACGCGGCAGGCCAAGCGCATTGGAAAAATGCGGGGTTCGCGACTGCTCGGGGGGAAGCAGAGTTCTGCCTTCGCGAGACTTGCCTGTTTCGCTTCGCGATTGGAGGGATGAGAAAGGCTGGCAGCACGACGCCATTAAGCACTGGCGCTTCGAAACTAGTTCGTTCATTCTCTTGCGACATCATTGAAGAGCTTTGCGAAGGGCAGGCGACCTGATGTCTCAGGCAGCGCCCCCCGTGCATCCACCGTCGCGGCCGCGGCCCGCGCCGCCCCCATTGTGGGCGCGCGGCTTCGCGTCAGCCTTCGCCCCCCCGATGAGCGCTCATTCTGATCTGCCTCCGCCCCGCCGGCCTCGCTGCGCCCGGCGCCCTCCCAGTCGCCGCCCTCTGCGGCCTCGGGAGGCGCAGCCTCGACCTTCGGCGCGGGCAGAGACGCGGCGACCAGCGCATTGGAATCGGCGGGTCGCGCCTGATCTTCAAGTCGCGCAGCAGATTCTTCCAATCCAGGTGCGCCGCCCGGCGCCGCCGCCGCTCCTTCGGCAGAGGCTGCAGGCGCTGTCACTGGCGCAGGCGCCGCGGCATCTTCGGCAGCGGCTGCAGGTGCTGGCCGGGGCGCCGCGGGCGCGAGCATATATCTTGCCCTGGCCGCGGCCGCAGGCGCCGGCGCGGGCCCCGCCGCGGGCTCGGCGGCGGCCGCAGCAGGCAACGACGCTGTCACTGACGCCGATGCACTGTCGCCAGCGGGCGCGTGCACTGACGGCCCACCCGCAGCAGGCATGGGCGCGCCCATTGGCGCGAAGCACAAACGGGACAATATTGGAATAATAAGGGCGCAAGATCGGATCAAGGAGGTTGGCGTAAGAAATTGCAGAGTCAGGATGAGCGATCTGTATTTAAATTGCGCGAGCATTGGCCCCTGTAGCGATCGAGCATGCGAGCGGGGATTGACTTTTTATGATATTGCTGGGACTCGCGCGCATCATTCAATGGAAGATCCTCGGAGCCGGCGCGCGATCGCCCAACGTCGCCGAAACCAGAGGCGAAGCCGTCGCCGCTCTCCTCTTCGACGCCCGCGAAATTGAGGCCGCTGCCGCGCCAAATTATGGACCGCGCGCTCATCGTCGCCCGGGCGATCGATCGCCGCGTTGAGTCGATCGACTGGAGAGCGACGCTTCAGCTCAGGATCGCCCTGGTGAAGACCGCTGCGGTGGGGCCGATTTGGGAGGCGACCCTCTGCGGGCCTCTCTGCGGGCTAAATCTGGACAGCGGCCTCCGACCTCGCCGGACCAGTCGCCTCCCCGAAGTACGTGTACTCGTTTTCCCTTCAAGCGTGGAAGATGACCGACCAGTGGCGATTTTTGCCGCTTGATATGCGAGAGAGCCGCAAGAGCTGTTCGCAGCGCAAGATGATTGAATACACGTGTAGTGGGAGGTACATCCGCAGAGCTTCGGTTGTGCGCGTTCTAACCCTGTGGGGGGCATCGCAATCAATTGAACAAGTACATCGAGGGGAGATGGAACCGCAATGAGCACATCTGTCATTACGTCGAATTGCTAAGTGGCGTCGTCCTCGCCACTGAGGCAGCCGAGTCAACAATGGCGGCGAGGCCGTTGCGCATTGTGGCCCCCGCGGTGGCGATCTTCTCCAGCGCGTCAATGACGCAGTCCATCTTGAAAGCGCTCCTCATTGGAGCAACGGCCTGGGCGTTTCTGCTGTCAACTTCATCCGGGCCACCAAGCAGGTCCTGGAAGGTGTTGGAGATGACCGACATTTCGGGCGGCAGCTCAACATCGGCTTTTCACGTCGCGGCATTGCCGCCCTGGTCCATTGGGCCGTTCGGCATTGCGGAAGCACGGGTAGGCTCGGAGCAACGAGGCCGTGGAGACGATCTCTCCCAGTGGTTTCGACGTCTTTCAATCGCTCGAGAGGAAAAGACAACTGCATGCTGTGACCCGTTGCTCCCATGATTGATCCCATGATGGGCCGGGAGGGTTCCCCGCCCTGGAATCCCCCGTTGTTTTTTCGACGCATGCCCGCGATGCAACCCTTGGGGGGGGCCCTGCCTTGGAATCCCCAGTGCCGCGACCGCGGAGTAGCAACGAAGACAGAATGGGAAAGAAAGGGGGCAATCATGTATAGAGCAGGAGTAGTGATGAGGGCACGACCAGTGCAATCATTTAGCACGAGTGGGGACATACTGGGGCATCAGTGGAACCATGACGGATCAAGCATGGAACAATAATCGATATGCAATGAAGCAATAATTGGGCAACCGTGGGCCCATAACGCAGCAATTGCGGAGCAGGAGTACAACAACAATGTAGCAAGACTGGAGCGTGTTTAATTGGAACTAAATCGCGCACCATCTTACGATGCGCACGGACGCATTGAACAACGGCTCGGAACGATATCGAAAACGATTGAATCCGAATTGGTGAAGAAAGTGGCCGAGGACGATGCGCGTATACGTCGCTCCTGCCCCCCCGAAAACGGACCCCCCTTCCAAAACGAAGCGAGCGATCCCCCCCTTCGAAAATGAAGAGCCCCCCGCCCCAGTCACAGCGAAAGCAAACCCCCTTCCGTCCCGAAAACGGAACAACCATCCCCCGCGTCTCTCAGATCGAAGTTCGAACGAGATCAAGGTGACAGAATTGAAACTCACACGCTGGATCGGCGGATTACTGTTCCATCCCCGAGATTCCACATCAAATGCAGGAGCTTGCTCTTCACATAGGAAAGGGGAATGATTTCAGAATGCCCGCGGACACACGCCATGACGCAACATGTAATTTCTACACATCTCCCCTGTTTTATGTCCTTTGCCTGAGGAGGGCGGTGGGGAGAGGGCGCAGAGGGAGCAGACAGAGTAGGAGGACGACCGAAAAAACAGCGCCCTCGAACGCGGACTCCGGGTGCCTGTCTGGGGCCCCCGGGACGCTCGAGCGTCCACTTGGGAGGGGGCCAGGACAGACCCCGCGACGTGTTTGGATCTGGGCGCCCAGGACGGCCCCCGGACCCCGCCCCCCCGCAAAAAAAAGGACGACCCCCAGGCGGCCCAGAGTCCCCCCCCCGCCACGGCCCCAGGCAGGGCCCGAGATGGGCTCCGACGCCTCGTGGACCACGCTGTGAGCCCAGGTGGCCCCTCTTGCGCGGCCCTCGCTCGGGAGGGCCGGGCGGCTGCGAACGGGCTCTCGCCGCGCCGAGCGCGGCTGCAAAACCCCCCGGCGCGGGCGCTCGGAGGCGGATCGCCGGCGGTGGCCCCCCCGCACCAGCCGACCTCCAACGAGCTTCAAGTTTAAGTCGGGCCTGTCCCTCTACAGGGGGAATGTTCAAACATAGTTTTAAAACATACGGGGACTATTTTATGTTTCATATTATCATTATCCTGTTTGGACCACTTCGGAATATGTTTATAGTGTTTTTGGATTTTCGTCGCAAATCCCCCTTCAGGGAGATCCTGGGCGAAAAATAAAGCCTACTCAAAACAGGCCCCCCAAAGATTCAAACATGGTTGTTTTCTTAATTCGTCCCCAGGCTATGTTTTGCCTCCTATCTTTGAATATACCCCCTGGAGAAGGACACGCCCGACTTGCAACGAGCTGCGTCATCGGGAAGCCGCTGCCCCGCGCCGTGTTTCCAGGCGCGGCGCCAAGAGGCCCCCGCCCCCTCCCCCCTTCGGGTAGTCCTGGCCTCCCCGGAAGCCGAGGCCGAGGAGGCATGCCAGGATGGAGCGCATGAGGTCGTCGGATACTCGTCGGATATTGGAACCTTGACGTAAGTCGGGCCTGTCCCTCTACAGGACAGATGCTCAAAAAAATAGTCAAAAGATAGTCTGGGGACGATTGTTTGACAATTATTGAGCATTTGGGGGGTATGTTGCTGTGCATTTTTATTCGTTCGCCCACAAATCCCTCGTAGGGGGGCAGGCCCGACCTAAACCTACACATTACCAGTGAAGGGCTGTGTTTCAATCCCAGGACTTCTTGAGGGTCGAGGGCGACGTCGAGGTGGTCTGGTGCACACTCGTTTCGCCGTCCTTCTTGGGGAAGCAACGGAGCAATTGTACACCAGGATCCCGTGTACACCAGGATCCGTTTTTTATTGTTTGCAAGTTTCAGAGCAGGCCCGGAATACGCGTCGGTGTATAGAGTTGGCTTCTGGGCTTCTCGGCTCAAGCCTCGTTGGTTCGTGCAAGCATGTGGATGGTAGAAGATCCTGCTTGACCCAAGGGCCAAACGTCAAACAGGCTTCGCAGCAATGTCGAGGGACAGGATGGTCCTCAGCTTCAACGAGGAGCGTCACGGCAAGTTCACAATTCCCGGGTACCCCGAAGACGAGAGCAGAGAGATCGAGGAAGCCCTCAGGCAACCGATGTATTTACATTCGGGATGGACGCTGTGGACGCAGAACTCTGGGCAATACGCCGTCCAGAAGGTAGTCGCCTTCGAAACAGCGCAGGAGTTCTGGAAGGTTTGGAACGGCGTTCCGCAGCCAAGCGAGTTGTTCGATTCGAAGAGGTTCATCAAGGAAACGACCAATGGCACTGGCGTCGCTGGCGTGGACGGCTTCATGATCTTCAGGAACGCGATTAAGCCCGAGTGGGAGGACCCCGCGAACGCAAAGGGGGGACACTTCCAAATCTTGGTAAAGCCCACCTCTGGAGGCGGAACCCTCGACGAGTGGTGGAATAACCTCGTGCTCGGCATGATCGGCGAGACGATCGAGTGCAGCCATCGCATAAACGGCGTCCGACTGCTCGATAAGATGGGCAGCTCGAAGGGCAAGGTGCTGGACAACGTGCGGCTTGAGATCTGGTACCATGGCTCCACGACGCACGACGAGGGCCAGCAGCTGAGGAAGTCTCTGGAGAAGTGCCTCATCACCCAGCTGGACGGCACCCTGGGCCCAGCCTTCAAGCCCGACATGATGACGGACAAGAGGCACTGAACAAGCGCCTCCCCTTCCGGGGACGACGGAGATATTCGCTGTGGGGGAAACGGGTGTTGAGGGAAACGGGTTTTGAGTGAAACGGGTCCTGAGGTTGTTCGCCGTTTCTGAGCTAACGGGGCTTTCCACGGGCCCCAGGACTGTCAGAATACGGTTCAGGATGCAGATCTCGTCTCAGAGGGAGGCCCCCGGGTCCAGGACCCATTTCCCTCAGGACCCGCTTCCCCCATGTTGAGATATAACTTCTGCTCATTCGGCGGCCGCCTTGGCCTCCGCCCTGGGTCAGTGGAGCAAGACGTCCTGATTCCAGGCCTCCTAGATGGGGTCGGAGTAGATGGGGTCGGATGATCGCGCCGCATCGCCGATGCATCGCCGATGCGGTTCGATGTGCAGCCCGATTTGCTTCACGTCGACCTCGCCGATGCATCGCCGACGTCGACGGTGCATCGCCGGTACATCGCCGGTACATCGCCGATGCATCGGCGATGCGGCGCGATCCTCTGCCCCTCCGACCCCATTTAGGAGGCCTCTAATGATTATGATGCGTTCCAAGCTTCCCAAAAGATGTCGCAGATTTCTTGTTGTTCTCTTCACGGGCTCCATGACCGAGGCCCGCGAGGCACGCGAAAATTCCTGGAACGCACAGTGGAGACCCATGCCAAGAAACACCCTGCTTGTCTCCAGGGTGCCCTGGGTTTCTTGGGTTTTGATGGGTTTTCTGCGGGAAACGCGACGTCCCCACACCAAAAATCAATGGACGCCCTGGGGTCTCTCGCTTGGGTTTCTTGCAGAAGGTTTCTTGTGGACAGGCCCCTACTGTATCCTGAGCCGACCGCATCATGCCGTCGCTCTGATCCTTCCAGGGGGGGGGAGGGGGCAGCTTTTCATTCCAGATCAAGTTTGAATGTCTTGGGGCCTTGGGGAGGCATGAATGTCCCACCCTGTCGTGAAGAGGAGCACAGAGGGGCGGGTTTCGCCCTATTCTGCCTCTTCTGGGTCGCTCGCGGGCCCCGAGGCCGTGAAACAGTTCTCCGGGATGAAGAGCCAGTCCCCGCCCTCCCCCTCCTCCTCCTCCTCCTCCTCCTCTCCTCCTCCTCCTCCTCTCCTCCCTCCTCCTCCTCCTCCTCCTCCTCCTCCTCCCACTCCTACTCCTCCTCCTCCTCCTCCTCCTCCTCCTCCTCCTCCTCCTCCTCCTCTTCCTTTTGGTGGCCGCGGTGTCCGCAGTTCAGTCGGTTCGGCTGCTTCGCGGGCGGCTGCTTTCGGTCGGTTCGGTTTGGTCAGCTGCTGGGCCTATGCGCCGGTCTAAGCTGGTTTCGGTCCATGGACATCTATGCGAAATTGGGGAGACACGGTGGGATTGAAGAGGTCTTCGCAGGCGACTTCTCTCCCCCCATCCCCTGGCACCCCCAACAAAAATTGGCCGTTCAGGGAAGATGGTGAGCTCTGAGATGCACCCGGGCAGAGACATTTTGACGCACACCGATCGGGGATGGACGCACCATATCGATTCAAGTGAATCAGAAACACTAGGCCGCGGCCCAGCCACAGGAGGATTTCCACTCGACCGCCCACGCAGCTTCGCCTCGCCCCCGCGCGCACGCACGGCGCGCGCGACACGAACCTGAATCCGAAATCGATTTTCCGGTAGGGGGGGTCTCCGTTTCGCGTCGGGCTCACCCCCCAACCGATGTACATCGAAAGAGAGAGAGAGAGTGAGACAGAGAGAGAGTGAGACAGAGAGAGAGAGAGAGAATGAGATAGAGAGAGGCAGATATGTATATAGAGAGAGAGATAATGCGATAATGAGATAGGGAGAGGCAGAGAGAGAGAGAGAATGAGAAAGAGAGTGAATGAGAGATAGAGAGAGAGAGAGAGAAACAAACATAAACACACTCACAACATGGGAGAGAGGGTAAAAGAGAGAGTGTGAGAGAGAACTATCTAGATCTATTACACAAAAGAGAGAGGGAGAAAGACCTTCAGCGGGGATGTTGGAGGTGGGCCTGTCGGGGATGAGACGTTCATGTGCGCGCTCGCGATGCTCGCGTCCCAACCCCGCGCCTGCCGCGGCTGCGCCCTGGAGTAAATCTCCTCTGTGGCTTCGGCGCATGACCGGCCCCCTCGACAGGCTCCGGGTTTCAGGCTAAGTTGCACATGACACGTGGGCGGCGTGCGATTGAATGCGCGGGCAGCGCGTCGCGCCCTGCGAGGTGGCGCAGCGACGTGACTTCGGCAACGGGATGCAATGTTCGCGCAGCGCCGCGCGGATTCCCCCCGCGACTCGTCGGCGCTCGCGCGCGCGGGGGGCCGCGGCGCCAACCTGCTGTCCCGCGCAACAGGCTCGCGCTCGCGCGCGCAGTGGAGGACTCGCGCGTCGCAACGGCGACAGCCTCGGAACGCGCTTTCTCCCGCGGGGGCCGGGGCGCGGCGCCGGGCAGACCCCATCGCGCGAACAGGCAGCGCTCTCGCGCGCGGGAGACAACTCGCGCGTCGCATCGGCGGCAGTCTTGGCGCGCGGTGTTTGCGCAGTGCTCGGCGCGCGGCGTTGATCAACTTTTCCGCGCGACAGGGGGGCAAACGTGCGCGCGGGGGGGGAAAAACTCGCGCGTCGCGTCGGCGAATATGGGAGCGCCGCTTTCTCGCAGGATTCGGAGCGCGGCGCCAAACTGCGTCATTGCGCGACTCGGCAGTGCTCGATCGCGCCCGGAGGAGGACTCGCGAGTCGCGTCGGCGCCCGTCTCGGAATAAGAATTGCGGGGCTGGGCGGCCCCCAGGCGCCAACGCGGCCTCAGAGCGGCCCCGAGGGGACCCCCAAACTGAGAAAGACGGTTCCAAAAATCACCCACGCGGCCCCGCAGCGGCCTTTATCTCCCCGAGTTAGCAGGAGAATTGCCGCATCCAGAGAGATCGAAGGAACCCCCCAAGAGCGTTGCATCAAGCAAGAGTCGCCATTGTCCCTTGTTGTTGTACAAGCTGCAGTTCCAGCAGATTAGTGATGTTGCTTTTCGAAGCGTCCAAGACAGCCCCGGGGGCCCCCAAGATCGCCCCCCAAAGGCCCCAAGACGGCTCCAGACCGCTCCAGAGCAGCCCAAGAGGCGCCCAAGGCGGCCCAAGATTGACCCCTAATAGGCGCCCAAGAGGGGCCCAAGGCAGCCCTAAGACGGTCCAAGTGGCGCCCCTACACTGCCCAAGAGGGGCCCGACAGGGCCCCCAAGAGGCCCAAAAGAGTACCCTGAGAGTTTCCAAACTGCCCCGTAGAGGCTTCGGCGTTGCCTCCAACAGGAGGGGGCGGACGATACGTCAGAGGCCCCTCTCGGCCGCAAAATGGTAGTTTTGAACTCGGCCCTGGATGCCTGCCTTCTGGGCAACGACGACGACGATGACGACGACGACGCCTTGTCGCCCCGCGGGGTTGGCGGCGAGCTGGAGAGGCGATGTGTTGCAACATCTGCAGCGGCATCGTGGCTCGGAGCTTCGCGTTGTGGACATCCAAGAACCGCTGCCCCGCTGAGATCCTTACTTTGCCCCGGCGCCTCCCCGATCCCCCCGGCGCGGCCCGAGGCGGCGACGCGTTGGTCCCAACCCGTTCCCGCGTCCGCCGCAGTCGTTCCGCGAGCCGTCCAGCGCTGCTCCAGCCTGGATGCTGGAGCCTCGGCTCGAAAACTTCGGCCCCCGCATCAGTGCCGTGAGCGCTCCCAGTGGAAGAACTGCACCAGAACGAGCTTCGGGGGAGCCGCGGCAGCAGCTGACAGCCTTGCGGATTCCAGCGCGCGCCACCACACGAATGGATCCGCCCGGCTCCGCGAGTTCAATCTACGGGTCCGCACAAGTACGAATGTGATCTTAGTGTCATGCTATGTTGTGTCATATCATACCGTGTATATATAGATATGTATATATACACGCATGCGATCCAGTTGAAAATCCAACACAGCTTGTGAATGGGATTGCCACGCTCCCCGTGAAATCACCCCCGTGGAGGTCAGGGGAAACGGGGAAGGGCAGGCTGGCACGGCGGCGGCTCGACGCTCCGACGCACGCGCACGGCGCTACAGGGTTGCCTGTGATGGGGGCCCACGCGGCCCCCTCCCAGCTCCCAGCGCTGCTTTGCGCTCTTGGATGTGGCATTCCCGTGGCCCCCGCCAGCCGCGCACCAGCTACAAGGCTCGTTTCGTGCCCGACGTCTTGCTGAGGGACCCCATGGCGCCAAGGCTGATGCACCCCAGAGATTGATCCGAGCGTACGAGTTTGGAACATCGTTTTCCCCAGTCCACCTGTGTGTGCCGAAAGTCCGGCTTGTGGCGCGCGAGCCGTCGAACTTGCATCCACGAAATGCAAACACCCTTTGGCAAGGGGGACGGGGGTGGGAATTTCGGGGCCGCGCGTGACAAAAATACTGCCGGATGTCTGGGGATGGCGCGGACGCTGCGCCAGTGGTTCGGGGACCTTGCTTTCGGCAACGCGGAAATGTCCTCGAGGCCCCCACGGACCAAGCTTGCATGCAATCGCTCGGTTTTGAGAATTTGCGACGCCCAGATGTCAGGGGACTCTGCGCGCCAGTTTGGCTTTCTTGGGGTGGCTTCCGGGATATGCTCCGTAGGGGCCCTCCATGGCTCGGGCCTCCCAGCGCCGCCCCAGCGCCGCCATCTCACCTGGCGCGCCTCTTGCTGGGCCTGTTTTCCACCACCACCACCATAAGTTGGAGGGGGAGGGAGTCCTCCTCCTCATCCTCCTCCTCCACCTCCTCCTCCACCTCCTCCTCCTCCTCGTCCTCCTCCTCCTCGTCCTCCACCTCCTCCCCCCCTCCAACTTATGGTGGTGGTGGTGGAAAACAGGCCCATCACCTCTCACGCGCACCCGGGAGCGGCCTGGCCGGGGCGCCCAGAGGCCGAAGACGGCGCCAGCCATCAGGACGGCGGAGGGCGGCGGAGCATCTCAAGACGGCGGAAAACGGATGGCTTTCGAGCCACAACAGCTCGAGTCTCCGGCGCCCGTGTTCGATGATGCGGGCATGAGGCGAGGCGTGTGGTTGGTGGGAGGCATCTCGAAGCTGGACGAACATCCACGTGTACCTCGAACGTTGATCCTCCAAATCTCGAAAGGTGGAGGTATCGGGGT